TTAATTAGATAAATTAAATTGAATTATCTCTTGTGAATTTAATAACTGATTTAATTATAAGAATAATTAAAGGATAATTATAAATTCATTCTAGGTTTAAATTAATTGATTAATTATATGATAATTTAGATAATTAATGTTTGAACCTTGTATTTTGAAAAGATTTAAAATACACCATATACTATATATGATTAAAAGTTTAATATATTATATGTATAAGACAAGTCAGTAAATCAATAATAGGACTCATTCACGAAGCCATGTTATAAGGGGGTATAAGGAAACAGCCTATAAAATGACCATTGAATGGGTGTCTATTCTCACCCACCGCTCCCTTGCATGGTGGAGGGCCGTTAGCCGAACGGGTTGATAGGACATAACCTCATTAAATTATGATGCTATTAAAGTACTGGAACATTTTATACAAATCCCAACTCTAATTAAAGTACTGGAACATTTTATACAAATCTCAACTCTAGTTACTTTAGGAAAAATATGAAGTGTATGTTAATCCATGAAAACGCACATCACTCTTTATATGTCGTTGGTGGAGCGTGTGTGGCTAACCGACACATTAATGTGAGATTATAAAGTTGAGGTGATGGCAAATCGAAAATTATCATGATTGATGGAGCGTGTGTGGTTTACCGGCACATCAATTCGAGATGATAAATGACCTCGAGGTTGTCAAGCGGGTTTGCATGGTTATTCACATCTTAATTGTGATCATCGGCATCCCAGTCACAATTGGTAAGAGCATAATTCGATATTAAACTTGCCATTGATAAGATTCAATTAATCTCAAAAGATCTAGGAGTTTCATAAGATTGAAATTCGTAAAAGCCTTACCTACCTAAAATAGATTCTCAATTTGATTTCGGCATCCCTCTTCAAAGTTTGAATCGAAAATATGGATCCTAGCCTTAATTTAAATTTATGGGTTAATAATTATGATTAAAATCAACTAACTTGAATTTTCTTTTCTCCCAACCTTTTAGATGTCTTATGAAGATAGAAATGGTCTTCCTCATTCTTCTGGAATTGTTTTCCTCGTTCTGATAGAGATGGTCTTCCACATTCGAGTCCAGGTAAAACGTTTTCCCTTCTTTGATTAATGGTGGAAATGGACATCATCTATCTTCAACTCTTCCTCCTCGTCCTCCTGTGACTCTCCCAACATCACATTTTCCTCGAGTTGAAATATATGAAACTAATCAAGCCCTATTGGCATGTAAGCACAAAGATGGAAATTTATGTGTGTGTGTGTATGTTCTTAAAATGAAATCGCACATTGACAAGTTGGGAAGAATGGGTGTCGTATTCCTGATAGAGCAAGCCATTGATTTGGTTCTTCTATTGCTTCCAAGGTCATATAGTCAGTTCATAAAGAACTTTTATATGAGGAATCTTGTCGTGAACCTATTGATTTGACCGAGATGTTGATAGTTGTTGAAGCAGAAATGCTTAAGAACACAACCGAAGTAGAAATGCTTATAGGGTCTAATCCTAAAGTTTCCATGGACATTGACAATGGTGACATTTTTTATCAAGAAAAGGTTTATCTTCCCAATAGAAAGGGATCTGCCAACACCAAACCGTTTGATCATATCGTAAAGAGAAAGGATCATTCTAAAATCAATCCATATGTTGACCCCAATGAGTCCATTTGTTTCTACTTCCAATTGAAGGAACAATGGAAACAAAGTTGCCCTATATACCCGAAGGGTCTCGAAGATGGAAAAGTCAATTGGTGTGGCTTTACTTCAGGTAAATCCACTATCTAACTCCCCTTTTAAGTTCCCATTTATAAACTTTTTACATCATGTGATGATCACATTTTAATGGAATTGCAGGATCTAAAAGAAATAAGGAAGCTTGAACAAAGTGAGCTAAATCTGATCGTGAGAGATGGACATTTGTCACATGGTTCAATGGTCAGAATTTGGAGCTACTACTAAGGAGTTAGGATAGTTTTAATAGATTGCTATTACTCTTTGGAGATGTTCAAAAATATAGTTTTTCATTTATGCATTGTAAGGACAAGTTCCAATTTCTTTTTAGCAATAAAATGAAGTTTTGGTAATTACCTTATCTTATATTTCCTTACAAAGACATTAATGAAAAGTGTTGGTTATTTTTCTAATAATAACAATATTAATAGTGGATATTAATTCTTCAAGAACGTGCTTGTGGTACTGTCATAATTGACCAAGTGAAAAGAAACCTCATCACCAAGTTTGAATTGGACAGAAACTTGGAGTCATACAATTCGAATTGCATGATGCATGAGAATCTTGTTCATTGGAAAATTATGACTAATTCATTGTTTACATATTTATGTGAGACAAATGAAGGACTAATGGATCAAATACATGTTGACATGGACTTTTCTAATCCACAACAAGGTACGATAACTCTTTTTGTCATGATTTACTGATACTTCAACAAATATGATTATGTTTATAAGATTAAGCATAATTCTGATACTTTTGAAAATATTCAAAGAGTAACAGAACAAATAGAAGAATCTATTAGGCAGAATAGGCAGAAAGATAAAAGATTCTCGAATATGAAAATAAAAGAGAGTGCTTTAGTATCATGTTTTATGATCATCTTAGTAATTGTGGAATTATATCACAATTAATCCTCCAAGAACATCTTAGTGCAATTTTATGACTAAGAAGAGGAATCAGATATTGTTGGAAATGGTTTGATCATAAGATGAGTAATATTTTGTTCCAGTCAAGTTTTAGAGTCATGCTCTAGTAACTATAAATCGTATCTTGAAACTCATTTCAAACTAAGAAGGTTTAAAACACCTCGAAATATGTAGAGTAAAAGTGTTTTCTTGTCGTGAATCCATATGAACTTTTGAATATTTGTTTTAGCTTGTCAAGGAATGTTCCTTGAGAAAAAAACTCATATGTCAAAAAGTTTTGTCTATTTTTAAATTTCTATCCCAAATGATCATTGATTAACAAAAAAATAAGAATAGTAAAAAACTTGCGAAATGTGTGTGCTTTGAGTACTCGTCACTAAATTGAAAATTCAAATATTTTAGCAAGACCGGTTAACCAATCCTAGAAATATTAAAAGATATGTTTGACAATATGAAAATCGATATAGTTTATCTATTTATCAGTTTTGTGTATTTTGTGCATTGCACGGGCACCACCCCTGACCCCACCGTGTGTAAAGTATTTTCTTACATAATTTCATTAAATCCTCATTGTCATAACCTAACAATACAATACTTATATTTTCTTACATGGTGATTTTAATTACTTGTTTATAACAATTGTGTTGTGTTTTTAAATGATGTCTACACCAAAAATGTGTTATGCTTGATATGTTAAACGTTCAATCACTCTCCCATTTTCTTATTTGTGAGTGCATCGAAAATCCCAAAGTCCGAGTTAAACCTTTGAAAATACAACCCAATAACTTTTTATATTATATAGTTTTTACTTAGCTTTTAATTTTTTAGTCATTTCGTACTAATCTTTTTATTTTTTTACAAATTTTCACACCTTTTTTTACAACTTACTTTTTATATGTTTTTTTAAACTTCTTTCTTTAGGGAAAAAATTTACAACCTTTTTTTACATCTTTTACAACTTTGGTTTTTTTCTTTTTTTCTTTAAAAAAATACTACTTTTCTTAAAAACATTTATCCTAGACATTGTTGGGGTCAAATTCAAGGAACATCAACATAATTTCATTATCTTTTTGTTTGTTAGAGCACTTAGAGTTTATCTCTATTACGACGTCGTATTTTGATAAAACTATAAAGTAAAGTACACCTCCTAATTCATATTTGTGAGTTAATTTGTAAGTTACTTTGATACTTTAATTGACGAACATAAATACTTTTTTCCACTTTTCTTATTTGTCTTTGATAATGAGGGATTTACATAACAAATTAACTCACAAGTATGAATTAAGAGTCGATCCAATTGTGCAATTGACTTGTTCTTGGTGGTGCTCAATTGGTGCTTATGATACGTTCATGCTAAAGGAGACTAGAATTAGATTGGCTAACTTGAATCTCCCTTCAAGTGGTCTGGTCTCTAGGTGGAATACATGTCTTCCTATTAAGATTAACATTTTTGTTTGGGGAGTGCTTTTGAATAGCCTTCCTACTAGATGTAACTTGGATAAAAATAGGTGTTGATCTTGAGTCGTTATGTCCGTGTTGTGAAGTGGAACAAGAGGAGGGGAATCATCTGTGTTTCGAGTGTAACATTGCACGTCGTTTTTGGCTTAAAGTTGCTAAGTGGATGGATAAGTCGATTCCTAATTTTTGAGAGGTGCCGAAATTCTTTTTATGGATTGATGGTATTTCGCAACTCGGTTCTATAGGGTGATCATGGAATCGATTTGTGCTACCCTCATTTGGATTTCATGGACGTACCAGAACGGCCTTGTTTTTGGCAACAAGAAGTACAAGAAAGAGTTTATATTTGATTCTATCATTTCTTTTTTCTTATAATTGGTACTGTAATAGGAATCGTAAAAGTTAGGAAGAATCGGAATGAGTGGATGCTTAATCCCCTCATGAACTAATTTGTTCTTGTTTGCTAGCTCTTTGCTAGCCTTTTTAATACATTCCGTCGTTCAAAAAAAAGGTAAAATATAGTATAGTTGTTTGATGATTTTAATAGATTTGTGATATGTCATTGAAATGATAAAAATATGAATATAATTAATACCTATTAGTAAAATAAAACAAAAAAAATATTGGATGGTTTTGTCAAATCATATAGGTAAGATTAATTATAAAATATTAATATATGTACATAATTTTGGACGCAAAAAATGGTTAATATAATTGTATCTCAACCACCTTATTAAATTAGTGTCCATATAAATACTTATATATACTTGTGATTTTTTATGGATTATTACAACTCATCGATAGAATATTAATAAAGAAAGTATACATGATGGTTTTCAAGTTTTCTGTTGGTGTATCTTTTATATTCATGATTTTGATTGGCATGGTTAACATTGCTAATAGTGAAAATCTTGCTGAAGAGGAGAAGACATCTTTTGGACATGGTGAGGGAGTTAGAAAGGCTGAAGGAGTATTCGACGGTGGGTGTGGTGCCGAAAGAGGATCTAGTTGTGGGCTTCAAGGAGTAAAAAGGTTAAATTTGGGGATGGGGGTTGGTATGGGAGGTCCGGGAATGAGGTTTGGGTTCGGGGTAGGAATGGGGACTGGTACTGGTATTGGTAGTACTGGTACTGGTACTGGTACTAGTATTGTTACTACTGGTGGTACTGGTACTGGGGCCGCAAATATAGGGACTGGAACTGGGGATGGGGTCATAAATGAGACTATAAGTGTAGGGACAATGGATGCAAATGATACTGTGAATGCAAATACAGAAACTGAGATTGGAATCTAAATTTGGAGTTACACTTAATGTTGAAGAAAAAGAAGCTGGTGAAAATTGATGACTTTAAAACACTAATGCAACTTTTAGAATAATAAGGGAGCAAACAACTTGCTAAATCTATCTATTTTTAAATAAATATGCATTGTTTGATTTTTAATGGAACATGGATGTTTTATGTTTCTTAGTGTATTATGTATATCATGAAATAACTAAATGTATGAAAATGCATGTTTTATGTTTCTTTATGTATTATGTATATCATGGAATAAATAAATGTATGAAAATGAATGTTTTATATTTCCTTAGTTCTTATTCATCTGCATTCTCATACTACAAAATTAAAAAAATAAAGGAACAAGATTTTATAGTATTTTCATACTGTAGAATTAAAAATAAAGGAACAAGATTTTAGAGTGATGCTATTTAGTTATTAAAACCTATGCTAATAAAAACAAACAAATTCTGAGGTAAAATTACTCAAAAAGATCTAATTGACTTAATGAAGTAGCACTAAATAAGTCATAGAGATGAACATTGACCGGTTCGAATTGGTCTCAAGAAATAAACATTGATTAGATTAGTTTAGAACCGAGCAATCTAGGTCCGGTGTAAACTTAAAATCTAATTATTGGTTTGCGATTTTGGACTTCAAATAGTTTTGGTCCGATCTCGATCTCTCCAATTGGTCTAGGATTAGTCTCGATTCAATCTTAAACAAGTCTTATTTAGGTATTTAACTGGTCTCACATGTCATTTTTATTTTTATTTTTCAAATAATTTTCCCTATAAATATCATATCAAACATTTGCCAAACCCAAGTATTCTTTTAAACTGTAAAGATAGACATTTTAGAAAAATGTCTTGATCCTTTAACATCTTGTTCTGAAAGTTTTTATTTCTTTTGTAAAGCTTTTAGAGAAAAGCTTTATTTCCTGCAGGTTTTGACTAGGATAGATGGTTTTTACCAATCCTAGTTGAAATGCTTCATACACTTGTAAAGAGTTAGCATTTTTGTAGAAATTGTAGTGGCTTAAATTCTTCCCGTCAATATTGGAGAATTTTTCTTCTACAAATTTTTCTTCCGTTGCACTTCGAGCATACCTGTAACAATACTCAAAGTCTTTTATCTTGATTTCTACTGGGAGGTCAGGTGTGACTTCCTCAGTATTTTTGGGAGTTCTTCTTGGAAGGCTTCCAAGAACAGTTTTGGAACTTTTGGTAGAATTTAAGGCTAACTTGAACGTGTTAGGCCTTAAGGTCTCTGCTGCAGTAATAAGGTGTAGTTCTGAGCACCTTTCAGATCTTGTGTATTGATCTGCAGCTATCTTGGCTTCAAGAAAGTTATTAAACTTTTTATGTTTAATATTTTTAATTCCTTCTGTTGCCTTTTTGGTGATATTCCAGTCTTAAAATATACCAGCGTTGGGTCCATTGAATACAACGTAGTATGGTTTTGAATTTCTATTAGGAATTTGTAACAATTCCTCTGGGATTTGAATTCCCTTATCAGGTGTTCCTGATCCTAAAGATGAACCTTCAGTTTTTGGGATTTGAATTCCCCCTTTGGGTCTTAGACTAAAGTCTAACGGTGTAACCAACGTTATTGGAGTTTGTACTCCTGTCTGGATTTTTGGTAAATCCACAACCTTCAACGGATTTGTTGAGTCTTTACCTGGAGCTGTTTGCTCAGGACTAGACGTTTCTTTTCTTTTTAAAGGAGGTGAAACATTGACCTCTTGTTGTTCGATGTTCTTTTGAACACTTACATTTTCTTCTTGACTCGTAGGAGAGGAAGGAGAAGAAAGTTCCTTTTTATGTTCAGACATAAATAGTCTTACAATTTTTAATTGGTTTCCGACGAATTCCAATTCTTGTTCAAGAAGAGCTTGTTTGAGCATAAGCTCTTGTTCTTTCTCCATTTGAGAAAGGCTATGTACCTGTAGTCCAAATTATGGACTGAGGTTAAAACCTCTTGGGTCGTTAGACCACCAAAGTATAACGCCGAATGGCTTTGATTACTGCATGAAAAGAGTATCAAACCTGATTAGTTTTTCTGTTGGAATTCTCGAGTTAAGAAGTCTGCAAAGATATTCTTTTCTCCTTTAATGTGCTCTACTTCAAAGCTACATATGGAAAACCACATTTGCCATCGAACTAATCGACCTTGTTTGTTATCTCCAGAAATGTTATTTCTTAAAAAATAAGCAAAGTTTTTGTTATCTGTTCTTACTGTAAAATTTACAGGTGTTAGATAGATTGAAAACTTTTCAATTACTCTTTTAACGACAATATATTCTTTTTCATTAGAATGGTAATTTCTTTCAGCATCCTTAAAAGATCCTCAGGTGTATCTACAAATTAATTCTTTGGATTGATCCTCAGAATTTATTGCTTTAAGGATTCCTCCCCAATAATTATCTGAAGCATCAGTTTCGATAATTAATTTATCATCTAAGTGAGGATGATACAGAGGTGGAAACTCTTTTAGGTTCTTTTTTATTTTTGCCATATAGCTAGAATCATCTTCAGACCATGACCAAAGGACATCTTTCTTAAGTTTGCATTGTAAGGGACTTCTTATTTTTTTCAAGTTTAGGAATGTAGTCTGAAGCATATGTTAAGATTCCTAAAAATCTTTGTAACTGTTTTTTATCTTCAATTTTATTAGAAAATTTATGAATATTTTCCAAAATATGATTTTGAAGACGATGACTTCCTTGTTCTATTTCTAACCCAAGGAAATTTATTTTACTTTTAAAAAGTTGTGCTTTCTTTTTGGAAAGAATGATTCCAAGAAGATCACATTTTTTTAGAACAGCTGCTACGTGTAACAAATGTTCATTTTCATTGTTGCTGAATATGAGGATATCATCTACATAAACGCAACAAAATTTTTCAAAAGATCTGAATGCATTTTGCATATGTCTTTGAAATATGGATGGAGCTTGTTTTAGACCGAAAGGTACAACAGTCCATTGGTAATGTCCTTGGGGACATGTGAAAGTTGTTAAGAGTTGTGATTCAGCGTCAAGTAAAACTTGCCAAAAGCCAGATTTACAGTCGAAAGAGCTGAATATTGTTTTCCCTCTAATAAGGGTGAGAAGTCCATCTTTATTAGGGAGATTATGGCTGTCACCTATGGTTGCTTTGTTAAAAACTTTGTAGTTAACTACCATTCTTTTCTTTCCTCTTCTTATTTCTGCATCATTTTCGACAAGGAAAGCGGGAGATCTGTGAGGAGATTTACTTGGAATGATGACCTTTATTTCAAGTAGTTCTTTGATTTGTTTACTAAATTCTTCGACATCTTGAGGACTGTATTTCATAGGTTTAACTGTTATGATAGTGGTCGGGTCAATTAATTTTATGTTTGCTTTCATCCATTGTTTAGACTTTATTGGGTCTATAGGATTTTCTGAGCAAACTTTTTCAAGTAAACTTTCATTTTTGAAAATTTTTCTTGGTTAAGAAGAAATTTAAATTCTTCTTCATTCTCCCCCATTTTAAAAGGCAAAGTTTCTTCAATTTTGCTTTGAGAGATGTTGACAGGTTCTGGTTTTTTAATTTTTGAATTATTTTTCATTGATTCTAAAAATCCAGGTTTTCCATTTCTATAAGCGTTTGTGATTTTATCAATAATGATTTGAACACCATTGTTGTGGAAAGTAACTGTTTTGGGATTTTGTACAAATGGTCTATACAAAAGACAGAAGTTATTTCCTAGGATGAAATCTATTCCACATTCTTGTTGGTATACAGAGGGGATATGGAATATTTCTCCAGCAAGTCTTATCTATAAATCAACACATTTTTTGTTGATAATTACAGGTCCGGTTGTTGTGGACCATTTGTTTTTGGTAAGCTAGATTTCCTTTGGCTTTGCTGGGCAGATAGGTTTCTTGCTTGCAGATGCCTATCTGTACTAAATGATGAGGATGATATTTTATTTCATCCTTATCATTCCAGTATGGGATGCTACTGTTGAATTTTAGAAAAATGTCTTGATCCTTTTTGCAGCATCTTGTTCTGAAAGTTTTTATTGCTTTTGTAAAGCTTTTTAGAGAAAAGCTTTATTTCCTACAGGTTTTGACTTGGATAGATGGTTTTTACCAATCCTAGTTGAAATGCTTCATACACTTGTAAAGAGTTAGCATTTTTTGTAGAAATTGTAGTGGCTTAAATTCTTCCCGTCAATAGTGGAGAATTTTTCTTCTACAAAATTTTCTTCCGTTGCACTTCGAGCATACCTGTAACAATACTCAAAGTCTTTTATCTTGATTTCTACTGGGAGGTCAGGTGTGACTTCCTTAGTATTTTTGGGAGTTCTTCTTAGAAGGCTTCCAAGAACAGTTTTGGAACTTTTGGTAGAATTTATGGCTAATTTGAATGTGTTAGGCCTTAAGGTCTCTGCTGCAGTAATAAGGTGTAGTTCTGAGCACCTTTCAGATCTTGTGTATTGATCTGCAGCTATCTTGGCTTCAAGAAAGTTATTAAACTTTTTTATGTTTAATATTTTTAATTCCTTCTGTTGCCTTTTTGGTGATATTCCAGTCTTCAAATATACCAGCGTTGGGTCCATTGAATACAACGTAGTATGGTTTTGAATTTCTATTAGGAATTTGTAACAATTCCTCTGGGATTTGAATTCCCTTATCAGGTGTTCCTGATCCTAAAGATGAACCTTCAGTTTTTGGGATTTGAATTCCCCCGTTGGGTCTTAGACTAAAGTCTAACGGTGTAACCAACGTTATTGGAGTTTGTACTCCTGTCTGGATTTTTGGTAAATCCACAACCTTCAACGGATTTGTTGAGTCTTTACCTGGAGCCGTTTGCTCAGGACTAGACGTTTCTTTTCTTTTTAAAGGAGGTGAAACATTGACCTCTTGTTGTTCGATGTTCTTTTGAACACTTACATTTTCTTCTTGACTCATAGGAGAGGAAGGAGAAGAAAGTTCCTTTTTATGTTCAGACATAAATAGTCTTACAATTTTTAATTGGTTTATGACGAA